GATAGAGTTTCTGAGACTGTATGTCTTTACAGGAGCAGAAAGCCTCATCTTTCTCGCGGAACAGTTGGTAGTTTCGAACTGCTGACCATGCGACTAGCAGCCCAATTCTTAACCACTACGCTACCAGAGTAGATCCTCCTGTAGAGTAATTACCTGCTTCAGGATGAGTGAACAGTAAGTACACAATCACCTTTTAGGCATGCAGGACAATGCCCGGAGGTCTGGAGTCCAGCACCATAGAGATACCTGCTAGCCTCTCTCGGTGGGCTTCCTGCAGCCTCTGCCAACCCCCAGACCCCACTCAAGGCCCTTGAAGACTTTGGGCACCAGGAGCTGGGGGCAGAAGCTCAGGCACCAACGGAAGACTGGGAAGTCCCCTTCTTCTCCCGCCCCTCACCCCACCCTTCCATGTTCACACACGGTCTCCCAGAAGGAGGTAGACTGGGGTGGGGCAGTGGAGGAGAGCCGACATCAGCGAGTTTCTCTCAGGCCTTACTTGGAGAAGCGCAGGTAAGGCCAGCCTCCCGGGTCTGCGGTTTGGGGGCAAAAAAGTGATGTTACCCCAAGGACGTAGACCAGGGGGTGGGCGGCCCGAGGACTAGCCCCAGCCCACTCCCAGCCTCTATCGATCGATCCCTGCCCCTCCCGGCATCATTACGGAGGAGGGCTGCCGGGGCTGGCAGAGGAGCCAGACGGCTGCGGAGGGGGAGGGGAGGCCTCCTTGGCTCCCCGGGCCGGGATTAAATATTTACTATGTTTTGTTTGGCCTTTGGGAGAGGGGCGGGGCTGTCGCGTCGACCCGGAGCTGCCGGGCTCAACCGGGCGAGGTCGGCCCGAAGGGTAAAGGGGTGCCCAGGCCCCGCGCCCCTGGCCCTCGAGCGCCCCCCGGCCGCCGTCCCTCCCGGGGCGGGGATTTATCTCTGCGCTTCGCTTTGCAGCGCTGACAGATCTGGGTTACTGCGCGGCTTCTGCGCGGGGAGTCTCGGCAGGCCTTGGAAACATTCCCAGCTGGAGAGAGCGGCTGGGCCCCACGAGGCGGACGCGGGCGGCTACTGCCCCACCCCTGGGTGGGGCCGGACCGGGGTCTTCACGCTGTTTGCTAACTGGGGTTCCTCCCACCAGTCGAGGGATGCCCTGAGATCGGAGAAGGACTGCTCCGTCCGAAAGCCACGCGATCCCACACACCTGCCAAGATACCGAGCACTCTGTGTGCTAGATGGCACTGCTAGCCGGATCTCTGTAATCCCAACAACAGGCCGGAGGGAGATGTTTATTCTCCCCATTTTATAGATGTAAAATCCGAAGTGCAGAGAACGGTAGATGTGAAGGCCAGATTGAGAACTCAGATCTGTCCCCCAAAGCCTGGGCATTTCCTCACTGGGTTTGCCTTTAGTGGTTCCCTGCGTGAGCCTTTAATGGGCACCACTAGTTTCAGAGGTCCAGTTCTCTCACGGGGATGGCAAAAAGGGCCTAAAAACAAATACTGAGTGGACCCCTCTGGCAGCTAGTCAGGACCTAGAGTCCCTTACAGATACACAACTCTTAGTCTTCCATTTAACTGAGCTCAGTGTACACCAGGGACAAGGCCTCTGCCCTCATGAAGTGTGTAGTCTACACGAAGAAAAACTTTTGGGTTCATGGACACATATGTACACTAAGACACACACACACATCCTAAAGAACAGCTCACATTCTGTTCTACACATGTAGATATGCACGCACATACATACCTCAAATCCGCTCCACATATGAACACACATGTGCCTACACACATGTACACACAAACTGTCACTCACCCACTGTCATATATGTGCCTGCTAATGTAGCATTGGACTGCAAAGTCGGGTTGAACCACAAGGTCGGCATTTCAAGCTAACCAGCTGCTCCTTAGAAACCCTATAAAGGAGCTCTGGTAGCATAGTGGTTACGAATTGGGCTGTGAACCACAAGGTCACCAGTTCGAAACTACCAGCTGTTTCATGGGAGAAAGATGAGGCTTTCTGCTCCCGTAAAGATTTACAGCCTTGGAAACCCTGTACAGGGTCGCTATGAGTCGGAACCGACTCCACGGCACATAACAACAACAGTGGGTCTGAATCAACTCAAAGGCACTTGACAACAATGCAACACAGACATGCACTCATACAAAGAACTGCCCATCCCTAACATGTATATGCATATGCCAGCACATACACATTTGCACACAAAGGACAGCTTGCCCACCTCTACCACTACACGTTGGTATACATATGTACACGAAGCTGTCTACCCCTGCACATATGCACACACATGTACTGGTATATCCAGTCCCACCCTTAGTGCTACATGTATCCCTCTACACACACACACATACCCCCACAAGGCACACACGCATGCGCACTGAGTGCAGGTGGCTGGCAAAGAGCTTGCAGCCTCCAGCCCTGCTCCTATTTAAAGAGAAGCATTGCTGGAAAAGGAACAAAAGCAAAGCCAACTATAAATAGCTGCAGCCCTCCCCGCTTTTCCTGCCCTCCGGCCTCACGGCCTTGCCTCTCCTCGCCAGCCTCAGGCTCAGAGCAGCAGGGCAGGCCTGTCCCCAGGGCAGGCGGTGGGGCCCTTGGCGGCAATGCCACTAAGGCAGCCCAGTGGGGCAGGTTGGGGACCCTGGGCCTGACTGGCTGCAGCAGCTCAGGCCCACCACCTGCAGCCAGCCCTGTGTGCATGTGCCCAGCTCAGGAGGAGGGAGGCCCACTTGGACCAGGCTGCTGCCTCAGCAGAACAGCAGAGCTGGCAGCTGTGGGGGGTGAGGAAGGCCCGCCTACCAAGCAGCAACCACTGCCCCAGGCACTCCCTTCCCAGCCAGGCCAGGTCTCTCCTGGTTTGGCTCCTGGGACCCAGAGAACCTTAGGTGTCCTGTTAGGAAGCCACAGAGGTGGAGGAAAGACTATCAGGACAAGAGGTGGGGTAGAAGATACAGGTCCTGCTCTGGGTTCATTTCATCCCCACTGGTCCAACAACCTTGAGCAATCAACCTCCTAGCCACCACCACCCCAGGCTTGGGTTCAACGCCCTCTTTACAGCAGGAAAACAGGTGTGTTGGCAGGTCTCTGTGAAGTGTGGTGGGCAATGGGATGGAAGAGATTGCAAAACCTCTGTGTTTGAGAGGAATTTTATTAAAAGAATGATAATAATTGAGTTCAGATCTTGAGCTTGTTTGATCCTCTGTGAGGTATTCCCATTTTATGGGTAGAGAAACTGAGCCTCCAAGGTTAGGCAGGCTTCTAAAGCATGAAGCTAGGTTGCAGAGCCAAGTCAGGACTGTCTGAAAGAAAAACCCTCCTTTTGATATCTTATACTGTTGGGGGCAGGAGGGCCTTGGTTTTCCGATTAGCCCTTGCTGATGGCCAGCAGACACCTAGGCTATGCCAGGCTACATGGGCTGCAGGGAGGATGAACTGCTTGTTCATCTGCTTCACCATTGGCCCTCCTATCCTGAGACCCCCATCCAGGATTTGCTACATCAGCCCATCCTCCACCCACCCCATCCCACACCCCATCCCTAGCTCTCCTGAGGACCCCCTCTCCAGTCCAACCCCGGAGGGGGGGGTGGGTTGAGGGAAGAGCTCAGGCAGACCTACTTTCAAGGCTTTAATCCTTTTTGCTTAAAGGATTTTTTTTTTTTTTTTTTTTTGCTTGGGGAAGACTTGGTCTGATCAGAGAAGAGACGCAGGGAGCTGACAAGCTGCGGAGGATTGGGGGGAGGTGAGGAGAAAGAAATACATATTTATTACCCTCAATTATTAAAAAATAGATAGTACCAGATCTTAGGTCCTGGCAGACATTGCAGTGGCATTTGTTCGACGACTATTTTCTTTCCTTCTTTCCTTTTCTTTGTGTGTGTGTGTTAATTTTGAGATTGCACTGTGACTTGCTTGTTAGTAAAAATACCCTGGCCAGTTCCCAGTGGGATGAACGGGTAGTGTGTGCAGCAGGCAGGGCCTGAAGCTGGAGAACCTCCAAACCCCAAGTATAGGGTGGGGTTGGGACTCGTCTCCGTGGAGAAGGGTAGGGGGGCAAGAGAGACTTGCCCCTTGCTTCTGGCCTCAAGACACATATCCCGAGTTGTTTACTTCCCAGTGCTCTCTCAGGACACCCCTCCACCAATAACAGGCCTTCCCTGGTGGCGCTGCTCTTTTCAAGAGAGCGCTGAGAGAAAAATCGATTCCAGCTTCCTCTTGTGGGGGAGGTGACAACTCTCTCCCTGGGCTTCACCCATGGGCACTGCCAGCTCCCAACACACACCTTTCTCCTCGCAGGGTTACATCTGCCTGTTGAAAAGGGACAGGTCATCAGCTTGATACAAAGATGCCACTAAATCCTGTGAGGTCCCTGAGGCCTGCTG